CCCCCCCCCCCCCCCCCCCCCCCCCCCGCCAGGGCTTCCTCACCCTTGCCTCATTTCCGCTGTCCCCCCTCCCCAGCCCTCCTGGGAGCCAGAACCAGAGGTCTGGGCAGATTGGCCAGCCAAGGAGGTCAAGCGTGGGTTTCCAGGCCCTGGGCAGGGGCAGTTCTAGTGTAGGGTGTGACCTCGTGGGGGCCCGCCTCCCTCAGGCCTGCTTCCCTGGAGGGCACCCTGCTTCTAGCGGCCCTCCCCTCCCTGCTCGAGGCCCGAGGACCGGACTGGCAGAGCAGGGCTCTGTCTGCAAAAGCCCCCTCCCATGAGCACAGCAGTGGGACTCCATTGCCCAATTCCCCCATGCACCTGTGGTCTTCCTGAAATCCCAGAAACAGGGGTGTTTGGAGCGAGTTGGGGTTCTGGGTGGCGTAGGTGGGGAGATCCTCCATCTCACACGGCCCGAGGTGGACAGGGCAGCCGCGTACCAGGGGCTACTTCAGCAGTTGCCTTTTGTTCTGAGCCCCACGGCCACTAGGAATCTCCAGACCTGACCACATGTGATCCCCCCACCCCTCTTCCTCCACCCCGGAGCCCCCCTCCCAGCCCTTTCTACCACAAAGGGGACCTCTCATCAGGCCCATTACAGCTGGGCAGACTGAGGTTTGCCCTCGCCCTGAGTTGTGGCAGGGGGCAGAGGTGAGGATGGCGTCCCCTCCGGATCTTCAGAAATCAATAAAAGAGCTGTTCCCCGGGGGTGAGGGATGCTTTCCTGGAAATACAAAGCCTCCTTGTCTTCACCAGCCTGTCTGAGCCTCTGGTCCCCGTCCTGAGTTCACAGATGCAGACAGACTGACAGACACACACTCACAGCTCCGAAGGGCAGGCCCCCAGAGCAGGCACTCGGACGGGGGCCAGGGCCACTGCGCATTCTGGAAGGGACCGAGCTTCTGTCTCTGAAGCTGATAACCCCTCCTCTCCTGGACTCACCCAGCCCAGGAACGCTGCCTCTGCGCTCAGGTTCCTCCAGCCCCAGGGTCACCATCCTGACTCCCCCAGGAGGTCTGTCTTGCCCCCTCCTGGACTTTCCTTTCTCCCCCTCCCTCTCTTCATGGGCCCAGAGACTCTATACCCTCTGGCCTCACCGGTGTAGCTTATAGCATCCCACAGAGAGAGCAGAGGTTGAAGGGGGAGGGAGGGAGCGGGCCCAGCCAGGCTCTCAGGACCAGGAAACCATTCCTGGAGTCGCTTCCTTCTGGCTCCGAGGCTCCGGGGCTGGCAGGAAGGTGGCCCTGGGGCCAGCAGGGAGCCAGGACACAAGAGCCCTGGCTCCAGGGGGTCTCCGACTGAGCAGCTCTTTCCTTCCAGGCTTCAGGTACCCTGGAGAAGGACCAGGTGGTCAGGGCCAGCAAGCAGGGCCCTCCCAGCGGCAGCTCCTTGGGGGTGGTGGCTGCCTGAACCCCTGGGGCCCTGGCCCTCCTTTGGGCCCCTGGGAAGCCCCCGACTTAGCTGAGCTCCTAGCCCCTGGCTTAGCGGAGCTTGGTTCTTTCTCTCCTCCACCAGTGGGTCCTCCTCCCCTCCCTTCTTCCACCTGCGTCTCTCTGAGTTCCTTCCTTATTCTCAAAGATGATGGGTCACAGCTGGTGGAGGGAAGGATTTTGGGCTGAGGGAGCAAAAGGAGTGTCCCTGTTGGGACAGCCCTCCCAGGATAGGGGTAGGGCGGGGTGCCTGCAAGGGGAAGACGGGTACAGATCCTGTGTGCGTGTGCGTGCGTGCGCGCGCGTGTGCGCGCACACGTGCGCCAGCAGGCACGACCTCCCGGGACCACCCCCCCCGGTCATTCATTGGTTCATGGCTCTGTGCTGGGGGCCAGGGATAAAGGAAGCAACCTCACAGCAGGCCGGTCACCCCCAGTCAAAGCAGCAGAAGGCTCGGACACAGCGAGGAGGGGAGCCGGTCGCTGGGTTTCGGGGGATCCCTGGGCCCTGACTCAGGAGGCTGTGTGGGTTCCGTTCCGTGACGAGGACAGTAACTCCCAAACAAAAGCTGACATTTAAAAAGGCTGACTGTGTGCCAGGCCTGGCTGAAGGGCTTTATGGGTCATCTTACAACACGTGCGTTTCCTTTTCACCCCCTGGGACAGTTTAGAAAACTGAGGAAGAGGCATGCTCAGCTGCTGCTCGCCCAAGTTTACACAGCTGATAAGTGGCAGAGCCCAACTGAGGAGAGCCTTCCTGACCCTCCGTTTTGGGGTAGGGACCCTGCCGTCCCTGCAGCTAAGAGACAGGGAGTTCCCGGGTAGACGCAGGAGGTGACCTGGAGGCCCATCACCGGTGCGCCTGCAGTGAGCAGGCCGCGGGGAATTGAGGCAGAGTGGGGGACGGGTGCGCCTCCCACTGGCCCCTCCCCAAGCTTCTTCCAGCCAGGTTGTCGCAGGGGGTGTGACAGTACAGGGAGGCCGCCGCCCCAGCATTTACAGCCTCCAAGGAAGAGAGCAAGAGCCACCTGGGGGCTATCGGCTTCTGGAAGCTTCGATTGCTTCCAGCCCGCCCTCCACGACCCACGACGGGAGCGGTTAGTTCTTACACACACCGGGTGCTCCCAGCCCAGCCAGGGCTCCAGGCACACGGGGCCTCAGTGTGGGAGTTGAGAGGGAGACAGCCCCACCCTGACAGAGCTGCCTTGGGAAGGGGCATAGCAAAGTGCGGGAGGGAGGGACAGTAGGACTCAGGGGGAGGGTGCCCAGCTCAGGCCCCAGACCTCAGGGAAGCCCCCATTCCTATGCTGGGCTCCTCCTCACAGAGGTGGTTTAGGGCAGCCCCAGCCTTGGGTGGGGACATACCTCTATGGACCAGCCTATACGGCATCTTTGTCAACTCGGAGAAAGACAGAAGCATTTCTGCACTAGGTGCTGGGCTTGATGAGCAGAGCCTGGGGCTGGGTTTAATCCCCTGCTGGCTCCCTGGGCCCAGCATCTTTGTGCAAGACCCAAACTATTTCCCAGGACGTGGAAGCCCTGTCCTAGCAGATAGGGGAGGGCAGTGTTCGGGGCCCACCGGGCCCAGCTGTCAGCTCCCCTTTATCCAGCTGACCCCGGCTTGGTCTGGAACCCACCAGACTCCCTGCACACATGGCACCTGTCCACACCTAGGTCACCCATGCAGCAGGCAGGGCAGGGACTATCCGCTTCTCCCCGATGAGGCCCAGAGAAGGGAGGACACCGCCTGAGGTCACACAGCAGATTTGCCGGAGCTGTATTTCAGGGCCCCCCAAAACTAGTCCTCCTTCCAGCCTTGTGCCACTTTTGAGCTCCCTGGGACGCTCTGCTCCACGAACCTATGATCTCCGTACTTCTCCTTTTTAACTTAACAGACACTGACAGAAGACCTGCTGTGAGCTAAACAATGCGTCAAGTGCTAGAGAAAAGCAGGTCAGCACTTCTCTCCTCAGAATGAAATAACCAGTAAGTGTTGAATGAATAAACGAATGAACACCGAGCACTGACTCTGTACCAGCAGTTTGCTTATTTAATCATGACAACATTATGAAATAGGTTCTAGGATCCTCATTTTACAGGTGTGGAAATTGAGGCCCAGAGAGCTTAAGTAACTTACCTAAGTTCACACAGCGAGGAAGTGTCAAAGCTGGGATCTGAGCGGGGGTTTGTGTGCCCCCCCAACCACACAGGTTCTTTCTTTCTTTTCTTTCTTTTTTCTCCCAATTTCCTTTAAAAAAAAAAATCTTGGAATAACTTCAAACACTTTCCTTCATTTTTAATGACATTTATTGTTTCCTTTCTAATTTTACAAGCAATACACGTTCATTGCAGACAACTGCAAAATACATCAAAGCCCAAAGTAAAAAATAACAATCATCCATAATCCCCACCCCCCCCAGATATAACCACCATTAGCATTTTGATGTCTTTCCTCCCAGTGTCTACATCTTTTTATGTAAAATTGGTATCACACCGTATAGCCAGTTTTACACCCTTCTTTGTTTAGTTCAAACTATTTTGTGAGCATTTTCCCATTGGAGTCAATGATTTTTTTTGAAAACTAGATCTATAATGGCTGCACACATCCATTCTTAAGCATTTGCTTTTACTTAACCATACCCTGCTTTTGGTCATTTAGGTGTTTCTAATTTTTTACTAATAAATGTAACATCACAGTGAATATGTTTTTACATAAATCTTTGAACTGATGTCTACGCACGGATTCCCAAAGGGGAGTCCCTGGGACAAGGAGCATGAACAGTGTCAAGGCCTTTAAAGCATATTTTGAAAGTGCTGTCTGGAAAATTGTCTGGTGTACCCTCTGACAGTAAGTAGGGTGTGCGGATGTCCCATTCCTTAAAACCGTTGCTAATACTGATATCACTAATTTAAAACACAAAAACAAAAAACCTCCCTCAAGACAGGTTTTTCCAACTTTGGCACCAGGCTCCGTGTACCTGGTATATTGGTTGATGATTCCCAATCATCAATGGGGATGGGGAAATGGGGCCTCAGAAATGGCATGCTTGCCCTGGTGAGATCTAAAAGCTCTCCTGGGCCAGAGATGTTTTCCCCGAAGTCCCACCCCTGCTGTGGGCCTAGAGGTTTGAGCTGGGGGTGGGGGGTGGGGGTCACTGCACAAAGGCCATTCCTGACCTCTTGACAGTGGACAAATGAACCCCAGGATCCTTGCCACCTGCAGCAACCATGTCTCTTGAGGCCTCTCATTCATTCCTTCATCCATTCATAGAGTTGGCGCTTGTATATGCCAGGCAGTGTTCTAGACCCTGGGTCCTTCATCATCCACTGTCAGCAGCACCAAATTATGCCATACAAGTCACAATCTTCAGTGTCTCCCAACCCTTCCTGCTTAGCACTGTTGTTTTCCAAAGCCTGTGATAACAAGGCCTGGGATGCTTGATAAACATACAGACGGTCAGGTCTCTCCTCTGGCAATTCGGATTGTGTTAAGCCTGGGTCCAGCCCTAGAGTCAGTTTGCTCTTGTTTTGTTTGCTCCTGCTGAATCTTACATTCAGGCAAGTTCAGCTGAAGGGTCCCCCGACACTGACATCTGGTGTGGCCCTTGCTCGTGCGCGTGCGCGCGCACACACACACACACACACACACACACACACACACACACACACACGAGTAACCAAGCCCGCTCCCAGCACAGCCCAGCACCCTCAGGCCCTACCTACTAGCACACCCTGCCGTGTCCCTCAGCCTCAAACTCACCAAAGCTAATGACAATCTTTTTTTTTCTGATTTGCCAGCGATTAGTTTTAATTTGGGGACAATTAGAGGTAGAAGCAGGAGGTATCTGATCTTGATTAGAAGCAGGGAGATGGCCAGAGGCACCCCCATTCCCAGGCTGCCTGGCTCTAGCCTCCATGTAGATTAATTTATATTTTCAATTGATTTGGGGGGCGGGGGCGGGGGCTGGCCTGTGTGCCTGGAGAGAAAGTGGGAAGGTTTTGTGGGGGTGGCCAGAGGTCCCTGCTGTGCTCCCAGACACCAACAGCCGGCCTGAGATGAGAAGGAAGGGCCTCTGCCCTGCACAGGTGCCCCAGGCCTTATAAGAGGGTAGAAGGGAGATTCGTGAACCCAGTGTCTGCCCATATCCCAGTCCAGCTGGAAAGGCAAAAGCGTAAGTAAGTAGGTGCCTTCTGGTGTTGGGGGTGGCCTGAGAGGTCTCTGCACAGGGGAAGGGGTGCGTGGGCCGGCATCCTGCCTGCAGGGGCCATTCACAGAAGTGAACGGAGGAAACAGTTAGATGGTCATTTGCAGGTCACACTCACACCAGGGCCACGCTCCAGGTCAGTCGGGGCCGGGGCTGGACAGAGCCAAGGAGTAGCAAAGTACCATCCAGGTGGCTGTGGGGGGAGGCAGTGCCAGGACCAGGCATGGAAGGATGAGGGGACCCCACACCCCAACTCCTGTCTTCTTCTCTTGGGTGCTAGTGGGTCCAGTCCAATGCCCTTGTACACCGGGCCAGTGAAGCCTCTATTCACGCCACCATCTCTTTCTGGAACAAGAAAGAGAGAACGAAGGCTGCTGCCTCTCAGCTGAGCATAACCCCGAAGCGGCCCTGGGTTGGTGCTCCCCAAGGGGCTGGGCAGATTCAGGCCCAGGGAGGTTGTGGGGGGTGGATTCCAGGAGGATGGGAGTGCATCCTCCCATCCTGTGGAATCCACAGACACCCCATTCTTAGTTACCACCATGTAAAGAGCTGGGTGTGCCTTCCGGGGTTGTGGGAAGGCACTTGCTCGGGTCAGCTGGGAAGGGTCACATGTGAGGTATGGTGTCAGGAAGGGGCCGGGAGTGCCTCGGCCACCATCATTATCCCTGTGTGCAAGACCCGCGCGACCCCAGCCCATCTTTTTCCCCTGGTACGGTGTCTCCTCTCATTGGGGAAACTGAGGCTGTGAGGGGGCACACATAGCCAACCCCCTGTGTGAGTCTGCTTGGGCGGCCCTCCCAAAGCACCACAGGCTGGAGGGCTAAAACAAGAGACACTTGCTTCTCAGTGCTAGAAGCACTGAGGCTGGAAGTCCGAGGCGAGAGGGTCAGCGGGCCGGGTTGCTCTGGGCCTCTCTCCTTGCCCTGCAGATGGCCGCCTTCTCCCTGCGTCTTCCCATGGCCTTCCCGCTGCGCGTCCGTGTCTTAATCCCCTCTACTTGCAAGGACACCAGTCGTATTGGATTGGGGCCCACCCTAGGGACCTCGTTTTACTCTAATCACCTCTTTGCAGGCCCTGTCTCCAAACACAGCCGCATTCCAAGGTCCTGGGGGTCAGGCCTTGCATGAATGAGTCAGCGTGGGGGTCACAAATCAACTCGTAACACCCCTCACGCACCCGAGAGGATGCAGAGAAGCCGTTTCTAGAAGGAGAGGATCCCAGGGCTGGGCTCAAACGCCTCAGGAGGCCCAAGGCTGTGTACACAGAGGGGAGCCTGGCTGCTCCCCTGTGGGGAGCCGCTCCGGGGGGTGGGGAGCCGAGGCCGCTGACAGGAACACAGTGCCAAGCCCGGTGTGCAAGGCGAGCGGGGCCCAGGACACGAGAGCGGGAGGTGGGGGCCTGGAGGGCAAGTGCGCTGCAGAACAAGGGGAGCAGGGTGAGGGCCCAAGCGTGGCCGGCGTTCAGAGCCAAGCCTGAAGAGCCGCTGCGTGTGGGCCGCCTAGTGTGCGGCCTGAGGGGCAGGTGTGCCCCAGCCCGGGTTAGCAGCTCTCCCTCTGTTGGGGGTCCGGGCTACCACGTCCCCACGTCACACCCCTACAGCACCTCTCCCCCACCCCTGGACCTGCCCAACCTCGGATCTGTGTAGATCTTCCCCTCCCCCATCTGTGGTCCTTCCTTCCCCGGGCCGGGCCCTGCTCCATGCCAAGGTGCAGGCTAGTGTGCACGCTTGCACACACACACAAGCGTGCACACACCTTCCCACAGAGCGTCCCTGAAAACCTGACCCGTCTGTCGACAGCTCCGCAGGTCTCACCTTCCTTCCCTCCAGCCCCCACCACCCCAGAACACTTCCAGCCCACGTCCCTGGGGAAACCGAGGCCCAGAGAGATCAAGCAACTCCTTACTCAGGCTCCAGAGTAAGTGAGCACAGGAGAACAGGGCTTTAGTGCTGCAATCTCAGAAACACTCGCCTCCCCCACAGAGGAGGCCTCAGGGCCCCGGAGGAGAGAATGACTCATGGTGGTGACTGGAGGGGGTGTCGTGTGTCACGACGACATAAATACAAAAACCGTAGCACCCCAATACTGTCTTTTCTGGCTCCCCTTTCTGAAAGCAAGCTGTTTTCTTAACACAAGTAGCTCCCCCTTTCAGAAACTCAGACTCCTTATCTGCGAGGCTACCGACCCTGCGCCAGGACCCCTCCCCCTGAGCGGCCACTCAATCGCCTCTGCTGTAGGAGGAGGCACTCCTACCCCACACGGCACCCCAGTCAGTGGTGGGCAGCTCATTCCGAGAGCCCCACTCATTCCACAAAAATCTACTGAGGGCAGAGGGGTGCATGCCAACGTGGTGTCCAGTCCCTTCCTCCGTGCCCCGATCTGCTGCCCGCCTGGTGGTTCCTGCCCCCACTGGGCCTCCCAGGGATCCAGATGGCCCACCGTGGGGTTGGCCCACCGAGAGAGTCCGAGGGGACTAAGCGCCACTCAGCAGCCTCTGGGATGTCCTGGGGACGGTAGGCAAGGCAGGGCCAGTGGTTATGATTTGGGCAGCCCCATCCTGCACACCCCAGCCTGGGGGGTGGTGAACACTTCCAGCTGCAGCAGCTGCCCTTCTCCAGGCCCAGCAGGACAAGCACGGTGGCCCTCCCCATCTCAGCCCTGGCCATCCCCCCACACAGAGCAGTGCCCCCCTCCTCCCCCTTGGCCTCTTAGCCAACATCCCTGTGAGGGGGCCAGTGTCACCATCTCAGTTTCTGATGTGGGAACCAAGGCCCAACGTGGGAAGTAACTTGCCAGCGAGTGTCACAGGGAGAACCTTGAACTTGAGTCTTGAAATCTTTGCCTGCTTCCTGCTGCTTCCAAAGCAGTTGGCTGGCTCCTTGTGCCCTGGCTCAGATTGTTACCCTGGACCCCAACATGTGTGACTTGGGCCAGCCTTCCCCCCACAGGTTTAAAAAAAAAAAAAAAAAAAAAGGACATAGACACCAGAGCCACCAGAGTCTCCAGAACTGGGAATTTTTAGTTCATTGCCTTTATGAGGAATTGGCTGTGAAGGTTTTGTAGAACTGTCAAGGTTTCATTGATGGTGATAAAATGATAAATGTGCATCAACTGCAAGTAACCACTATAGCGTTGATTAGGAGTCTCCTCCTTGGGACACAGGTCCCCACAAATCACTCAGCGTAAATCAGCCATGATTTGTTGAAGGCTTGCTCAGTGCACAGACGCACAGATAACTAGCTTCCGTACAAGACAGGATGAGAGGTTCCCTCCAAGAAGGAAAATCGCAGGAATTGAGGTCATATCCTGGAGGGCTTCATGGAGGAGGTGGCATTGGAGCTGGCCCTCGGAGAAAGATTCCCACCTGAATGTGTACAGTTAGGAAAGAAGAGGATTTGACTCAGAGGGCACAGCATGAGCAAAGGAGGGGAGATAAGGTGGCATCGGCGAGAGCTAAAGCCAAAAGTTATCCAGTTATGCTGGCAGCGGGGACTTGGAGGGAGCAGTCCTGGGGAAAGGGGAGCCTGAAACCCCACTGTAGAGGACCCTGAGGGCCACACTCAGGCTCAAGGTGAGTTTGGATTTTGTTTTGTAAGCAGAAGGGAGCGATTCTTTCATAATACTTACAGACGTTGGCATTGGGTTGCACAATTGAGTGCTTTCTTACTTGATTCTCGAAAACAGAACAATGACAGCACCACATCCTTCAAGATCAGCACATTATTATTACCCTGATTTTTAAAGGTGAGGAAAGTGACTCAGGGGTCCATGGAAAGATCCAGAACTGCTTCTCAAACCTCGAACCCCCACATCTTGTTCCTTCCTATTCCTTGACAGTGTCCAACAGGAGTTGAGCAGGCAGTGAGGAGCCAGCAAGGTCCCATTTGTGTCCAGGACAAACACATCACTCTGCTGCTATGGAGGGGAGGAGATGCCAAGGAGGCAGTTAGGGGGAGAAGGGAGACCCAGTCGTGCCATGTTACGTTGTCATAGCAACAGGATCCAGGCCAGAACCGGAGCAGGGTTCTGGGGATGGAGGACGGGGGTAGCTCGGGACACACTACAGAGTCAACAGGTGGAATTGCTAGAATTTGGCAGGGTCCTGCACGGATGTGGGGAGGGGACCAGAGACATCAGATCCAAGGCCCATGTTGGGTTTGGGAGACTGGGGTTAAGTTCCCTGCATGTATAACGGCGTGGGGGGAGGGAGTAGGGGGAAATAAGGGATCTCCGGGGGCCCTGCACCATCTGAGGCAGCTGGTACAGGAACGGGCTCGGCTTTGAGAGTCAGGTGGCCCCAGGGTTCGAATCTTAGTTCTGGCCCCTGTCCCTCACGTGACTTGGGTAAGTTACTTAAGCACTCTTCACCTTGACCTATAAGATATAAGAATAGGCTCTCAAAAAAGAGAAATTATTGATAGAAAACGGATTGAATCCAGGATGATGGTAGAATACCTAGCTGGGAGGAGCCATCTGAGGATCAAGCAAACTAATGCCTGCAGAGCGCTGAGCAGGTTGTAACGGCAAGAGTCCCTGCTTTCCCAACGCCACACTCTGCCCTCCGCCCTTTCTGCACACTACTTGGTAAATCTTCACAACCGCACTTCGAGGCAGAAACCCATTTTATCTTCATTTTTCAGACGAGGATGCCCGGGGAATAAAACCTCTCTAAAGCCTCACAGTGCTTTGCACTGGTATTAGGTCCACCCCCACGCTGGGGCAAAAGAGGCAATGGCGAGGGGACAGTTGTCCTGCCAGCACAGGCAGGGCGGGCTCGGAGCTGACGGCCTCTGCGGGGTGGGAGGCTGGGGTGCCCTGCGGCCCCAGCACAGCCTCTGCTGACCCCTCCGGGCTCTTGCCTCTGTCTGTCCCCAGCCTCCGGCCGCTCCCACCCGGCCAGCCCCAGCCCCCCGGGGCCGCAGGCCAGCCCAGTGCTGCCGGTCAGCTACCGCCTGTCGCGGACGCGGCTGGCCTTCTTCCTGCGGGACGCGCGGCCCCCACCTCCTGCGTTCGCCAACGGCTCCCTGCAGCGCTCCGAGCCCTTCGTCGTGTTCCAGACCAAGGAGCTGCCCGTCCTCAACGTCTCCCTGGGGCCCTTCAGCACCAGCCAGGTGGTGGCCCGGGAGCTGCTGCAGCCGTCCAGCACCCTGGACATCCCCGAGCGCCTGACCGTCAACTGGAAGGTGCGGGCCTTCATCGTCCGCGCCCGCGTGCCCGCCTCGCAGCCCGTGGCCCAGGTGCTGTTCTACGTGGCCGGCCGCGACTGGGACGACTTCGGCGTCACCGAGCGGCTGCCCTGTGTCCGCCTGCACGCCTTCCGGGACGCCCGGGAGGTCAAGAGCTCCTGCCGCCTCAGCGGGGGCCTGGCCACCTGCCTGGTGCGGGCCGAGCTGCCCTTGGCCTGGTTCGGGCCCCCGGCCCCCGCCGCGCCGCCCGCCGCCCGCCGCAAGTCTCCGGACGGGCTGGACCCCGAGGCCGCGGGGGAGAGTCATCAGGCTGAGCTCTACTACACCCTCCACCCCCCGGACGCGTCGGGGGGCTGCGGGGGCGCCCGACGGGGGGCGGGGCCGGGGCCGAGCGCCCGCGCCGAGAGCCCCACCCAGCACCCACTGCTGCGCATCGGGAGCATCAGCCTGTTCCGCCCGCCCCCCAGGAGGACCCTGCAGGAGCACAGGCTGGACAGCAACCTGATGATCCGCCTGCCGGATCGGCCCCTGAAGCCTGGGGAGGTGCTCAGCATCCTCCTCTACCTCGCCCCCAACTCCTCCTCTCCCTCCAGCCCCAGTGTGGAGCATTTCACACTCAGGTAGGGGGCTTGTGGGTAGAGGGGTCTACCTTCCCTTCCGAGGTCAAATGCATAGCTCGCCCCCTTTAGGGGTGTGCCCACGCCTGCCTGGCCAGCACCCTAATCCTACCTCTTCCATTTATCGCTTGAGAAACCTCAGGAAGACACCTTATTTACTTAAGCCTGTATTCTCATCAGCTTGATGACAACAAAAATTTCTGCCCGACCTCTGTAGCTCACAGAAATAGTCGAGGAGAAATGTCAGTTCCCACAAGCATAGGTATCAAAAATGATAGAATGGAGTTGGAAGGGCCCTTAGATGTTAGCTGGTGCAACTCTCCCATTTTACAGATGAGGAGACCCAGGCCAAAGAGAAGAAATGGAGACCAGAGAGCAGCCCATTGGCTGGGAGCCAGAAGATGAGCAGGAGTCTGTCCATGTGTCAGGCCATTTGCCCAATCCTGGAGATGGGAGAAAACATTTCAGGAGTCCCAGCCTTTTCTACACCCTGAACGGGATTATAGTTTACGAATTCAGAAATACCTTAAGTCGTATCAAGTCCCCACCAAAATATTCCCCCCACCCCAGACATTATGCTTAGGACCCAAAACATCACCATTAACCTCCAGCTTCTTTGAGTGACGTATCGCCCTCTTTCCTGAGTGTACCACCTTAAAGTTCAGATATTCCTGGAAGGGATAGACCTGATTCAATGATTAATACCTGAATGTGAATATGACTTAAATCACTCATCACAGATTTTGGGCTGCATTAATAGGAGTAGAACATGTAGAATCAAGGAGGTGGTCGCCGTTCTGCTTTAGTCAGTATTAATCAGAGCACAGCTGAAGTGTTGTATTTAGTATAGGCCTCAACGCCTGTGTGTTCAGTGTCCAGAAGAGGGTTGCAAGGGTTGAACCCTAGTTGCAAAGATTGACTTGAAACTATGGCAGAAAGCAGTAATTGGAGGAACTAGAGATTTTAGGCCTGGAGAAAAGAAGACTCAGGGAACACTTGCTTCCCTCTTGCTGTCCAAAGAACTGTTCCAGTTGAGATGAAGGAGAGTTGTTCTCTCTTGCCCCAGCAGAACCCATGACTGTTAGACTTCAGCTAAATATAGGAAAGGGATTTCTAGTCCTTAGCGGCTTTCTGAGAATGGAATTAGATGTGTGCAGCAGTGACTACTCTGTCACTGAGGTATGCAAGTAGAGATTTGGTAAGAACTTGGCAGAGAGATATGGTAGAAGCAATTGTAGCCTCCACGGAGGGTCAGAGGTTTCAGCTACATGATACCAGACTCCCCAGGTTCATCTCCAGTGTTGAGTCCAAGATAATTTACTGGGGTAATTTACTCACCCAGCGGGGGGGGGGGGGGTGGCCAGGTGGGCAGCCACTGGGCCCTAGGCTGACCGTCTCCCTCTCTTTCTTCCCTCTTTGTCCCAGGGTGAAGGCCAAGAAGGGTGTGACCCTTCTGGGCACCAAGTCACGGAGTGGTCAGTGGCACGTGACCTCGGAGCTGCTGACTGGGGCAAAGCACTCAACAGCCACCGTGGATGTGGCCTGGGCCCAGGGCACCCCGCTGCCCCCCTGGTAAGCACCTCTGTCCTCTCTGCAGGACAGCACCTGGAAGGGGTGGGGGCATTCTTGATGGAGGAAGCCAGGCTGGCAGAAGGGCAGGCGCTCAGGTGGTGGGGACTCTGAGGTCCAGGCTGGGGCACCTCGGGTGGCTGGAGAAGGCTCAGAAGTCCCCAGCAGGCAGGCTGCCGAGGAGGGCTGGGGGCCCCACCAGGGATTTCAGAGATCCTGGGCTGCTCCCAGCCCTTCCTCCTGGGCTCTGCTTCCTGCCCCGACCCTGCAGGGAAGGCCAGGGGCCTCTGGAGATCCTGCAGCTGGACTTTGAGATGGAGAACTTCACCAGCCAGTCGGTCAAGCGGAGGATCATGTGGCACATCGACTACCGCGGCCCCAGCGCCCGGCCTGACCTGGAGCGGGCGGTCACTGAGTTGACAGTCATCCAGCGGGATGTCCAAGCAATCCTGCCCCTAGCCATGGTGAGCAGGGTGGTGACTGGCCAGTGGATGCATGCGTCTGTTGCGGGTGCATGTGCACGACCAGCATGTGCCCCGCTGAGCGTACGTGTGGATCAATGCGTGTGTACGTGTGGGCCTGTGCCCGAGTGTGTGACTGCCTCCTGCACCCAGGTGTGTCTGTGAGTATAGGGGTGTGTGGGTGGGTGTGGGTGTGTGTGTGTGTGTGTGTGTGTGTGTGCACGCACACTCACTGGAGGCAGGCAGTGCTCTGTGCCTCGTGCTGGAGTAGGACAGCAGATGCTCGGGGGGACAGAGGTGGAAGAAGTCACCCGTGGAGAGGCCATTCAGGGGAGGCTTCCTGGAGGAGGTGGCCGTGCAGTTGAGCTTTGAAGGACACGTGGAAGGAAGGGCTCATACAACCAGAGACGGTGAGGAGGGTGCTCTAGGCAGGGGATCACGCGGACAAAGGTGTGGTGATGGGAATGTGAGTAGTTTGTTCTAAGGCGCGGTGGTTGGGGAAGGGTGCCATGGGGTGGTAAGGCTGGAGGAATCGTCTGCAAACAGCCCAGGGGTGCCTGGAATGGCTGGGCAGATGTGTTGGATATGACTCCGTGAATGTGGAGGAGCATGTAAGGTGTCAATAGAAGATGATGGGGGACTGGGGAAGGACTGTTTCCTGGCAGCGGGCTGAGGTAGACCAGAAGGCTACTGCAGGAGGCCAAGTGAGCAGAGTGTCTGAGAAGACTCGTGAGACTGAGCGGCTGCACCTCTCCGCACGTGTGCAGGTGTCCCCAGGGGAAGGCTGTGCATCTGAGGACTGAGGCAGCCAGGCGCCTGGGCCTTGGCTGGCGTGTCCTAGAAGAGCGGAGGACCACAAGTGTCCCCACTCAGCAGAGCTCCCCCCTCCCTGCAGGACACCGAGATCATCAACACGGCCATCCTGACTGGCAGGACAGTGGCCATCCCGGTCAAGGTCATCGCCATCGAGGTGACTGGCCTTGTCCTAGATGTCTCTGCCTTGGTGGAATGCAAATCTGACAATGAGGACATCATCAAGGTGGGCTTCCTGGAGGTGGGGACCCTGGGAAGAAGGCCTCAGACCTTCAGGGGGAGTGGAACTCCAAGCCAGAGGGGAACTGGCATCCCAGGCAGCTTCCTGTTGCAGGCAAAGGGAGGAGAAACGCGGGGGTGGGGGTGGGGGGAAGGTGCCAGTGGGAATAGCTTCAGGCATCCGTGCCTGGTGGGGGTGAGGAAAAGCCCTGGGTACTACTGGTCCTGGAGGGCTTCCTGCAGGAATATGAAAGAGACCGTTTGTCAGGCAGAGGGGAGAAGGCAGTGTTGACAGCCCGAGCTCAACCCAGTATAGCAAGTGATGATGGAGCCCCTGCCCGGACAGACACGGGGGCAAGGCAACCAGGGCGGGGGAGGGGGGGCCTCAAGGACACACCCTGACGCCCTGAACCCAGGCGCTGGTGCCCAAATGGAGGAGATTCAGCTCAGAGTGGAAGCCCCAGAAGCATGGAGTGAAGGTTGTATAAGAAGTTAAGCCAGGAGTGAAGGCTGTGTAAGGAAGAACCCGCTCAGGGCACACACACCCCAAATCCCCCAACTCCTGCGGGCCCCTCCCAGAGCTCCCTCCCCAGAGACCCACTCCGGGCCCCAGGTCTCCACGGCCCAACAAACGGGACAGCCGTCTGACTCAAATGACCTACTTTGCCACCTCCCCAGGAGGGCCTCCAGATTTGCCCCTTCAGACAGCCATCTCAGGCAGTGGGACAGACAGTGACGCAGGGGAGTGGCAGTCCTGGTGTTGGTGTGGTGGGTGAGCTGTTTATCAGGCCAGCCTCCAGCAGGTGCCCAAATCAGATGATCAGACAAGGGAGTCTGTTCCCTGAGCCTGTAAATAGCTCAGTCTGAAGGAGAGCAGGAGGAGTGGGCCGTGGGTGTCCTTCTCCCTCAGGCTAACTGGGGCTAGCCTGGGGTGTGTGCACTCTCTCTCCACATTCCGCCCCAGATCCCTCAGGTCTGGGGAGCTGGAGCCTCACCTCATCCCTCCCCCACCCAGGAAGAATGCCCCCCAATTGAGCCAGAGCAGAGTAGAAGCCTTGCCCAGGCCCGTGGGGCTTTCCAGGGCTGGCAGGCTGGGACAGGAAATAAAACAACGGACCTGCTCTCAAAGGCCCTCATCCAGCACCTGCTTCTGCCCCCCAGACTCCCCCACTCCCCTGCTCCGGCCACAAAGTGGACCAGAACAAAGTCTTGACTGCTTAGATACCAAAGGGAATTCACAAAGATTCTAAATGGAATTTGTTTCCACTCTCAGTGAAATACACTCAGGTTCTTTATGGAGTTTGCAAACACTCGGAATGGAATTTACCAGCCTTCAGATGGAATTCTCTGCCTTCTGAAGTGGGAAATGAGCATTTCTGGCAGGGCTCCTCTCCCACGTCCTACCACCCCCCATCCGAGATGGTTAAGGGAGCTAGCAGGAGTTTGGGAATAGCCAGGGGCTCATCAGAGATGAGCCGCCGTGCCGGCACCCTCCCTGCCCCCCACCAGAGCCTTCAGAATGTCACGAGCCCCACCAGCCGCATGATTAGACCCTCCCCAAATGCGAGGGTGTGCACCCATGGGCGTGTTCCAGCAGGAACACCTCAATGCACTGCACATGAGATTCACTCCAGAGTGTGCCAGGTACACACTGGGCACACTTGACATATACACACCCACCTACATCTGTCCTGAGTACTGGCACAGGTGTCCCCCGAGATGTGTTCAGCAGGCACGTGCTCATCCAAGGAACCTCTAGGAATATGAGCTGGGGTCCTGGTGGCCATGCATTTGTAAAAGCGGCACCTGCTGGTAGCAGCCATCCACCTGTCTGTCCTAATTTTTCCTCTCCCCATCCCCAGCTCCACCCCTGGCTAGAACCGTCCCCGCACCTGAAATGAACCAGCTGCTTATTTTCCTGCAGCCGCAGGGCCACATGGGCCGTGGAGGAATCATGGGTTCAGGACATGCCCCTCTGTACTGTGGAGGATGCCACCAAAAGACACCTCTGCCAGAGCACCAGCCTAGGGGCCCCTCAGCCTGAAAGCTCCTCTGAGGTGTGGTCTGCCCCATTAAGAAACAGTCTCCTATAAAGTCAGGTGCATGTTGGCTCCTTGCCAGGGAGCAAACACCTCCCATAGAGGCGCTGAGAGATGATCCGTGAAGAAATAATGGGAGCAGGGACACCCGAAGCTGACACCTCCCAGGGGAAATAAATCTGGTGCTTTCCCCCACCCCTGGTCCTCCCTTTCGGCCCACAGGAGGCCCTGCAGGGCAAGCCGTGCCAACCAACCTCCTTTCCCCTCCCCAGGTATCCAGCAGCTGCGACTACGTGTTTGTGAGTGGAAAGGAGTCACGCGGGTCCATGAATGCCAGGGTCACCTTCCGCTATGACATCCTCAATGCCCCCCTGGAAATGACAGTCTGGGTCCCCAAGCTGCCCCTGCACATTGAACTCTCGGATGCACGCCTCAGCCAAGTGAAGGGCTGGAGGGTACCCATCCTCCCCGACCGGAGGTACAGCCTTACACACACAGTGGATACTCGACAGACTCACAGGTGGACACAGCCCTGGCACAGGGTCTGATCCACGTATGTGTATAAGGCCCTAGGTGTACACAGGCTGCAGGTCGGTTAGGCAGTCAACAAACTTTTATTGAGCAGCTACTGTGTTGCCAGGCACAGGTGGGTGCTTGAGACATGGGGTGAGTGTGGCCAGTGCCTGATCCAGCCAAGCTCTGGGTCTATCAGGGAGGCTGTCCTGTATGTGCCACAGGACACAGTAGACACAGGAAGCCCTCTGTGTGGGGAATCAAGTGACACAAAGGAGAGAACCGCCTGTTCCTCTAGAACAAGTCGAGGCAGGCTTCCTGGAAGAGGTGACTCTTGGCTAAGTCTTAAAGAATGAGTGGAAGGGAGTTGGCTGGGAAGACAGGGTGAGAGAGTAGCCAGGCCACAGACAAAATGGAGCAGACGCGCAACACAGAAGCACATACACCTACATACATGTACCTCAGCCTGTGCACACCAGGGGCACACTCGTGAGTGCCTCAGCCCAGGCATACAGCGACTCACACCAGGCTCCCTTGGCAGGGGCGCCTCACGCACCTGAGTGCACATCTCTGGGGCATGCGCTCCACTCGCCCCTCACTCTGCTGCTGGAGAGGGGAGCCGGCAGGGCAGAGGAAGGAAGAGGGGCGGGCAACTGACAGGAGAGGGGCTGGGCTGGGGGAGAAGCCGGTGGCCAAGGGAGAGCTGGGCTCAGTTCAATTCTGCAGAGATGAGGAAAAGCCAGACCGTGTGGATCAGAGCCTCTCAAACTTGAACGTGCACATGAGCTCCCGAGGAGCCTATTAAAGTGCACATTCTGATCCCGTGGGTCTGGGAGGGGGCCTGTGATTCTGCCCTGGGCCCAGCTCCCAGGCCAGCTTTGAGTCATGAGGGCATGGTGAACTCTGAAGGGAGACAGGCTGGGTTTAAATCCTGACTGCTGTTTCCTTAGCTGGGCAACCTTGGACTACTTAACCTTTCTGTGCGCCCCGTTTCTTCATCTGCAAATGGGCACGTTGACACTTACCGCAGCGTGGTTGTGAGGATGGGTTAACCCAGGTAAAAGAGCCCTCTGTGAATGGGTATTGTGGTTGTTTGATTCATCCACAGCAGTAGCAAACCATGAGCCGTGTCCTTGGCTCGCTCTCTCCAGAGCGTGCTCTCCTGACCGTGGATCTCCTGGTTTTAGCATCTTCGGCAACCTGGATAGGCTGAATTTCCCGAATCATCCAGTCCTGGCTCCCTTTTGCTTACTGGTGCTTTCCTCAGTTTACCTCTCTCCTCTTGGGTTTTCCTATAAGCAGCAAGAGGTACCAGGCCACACATTCCACGCGGTGCCTGGAAATCGCCTCAGCCAAATATCCAAGTGCATCGCTTCCAAGTTCTGCTCGCCCCCAGCTGTAAGGGCACCCCCCAGCCAAGCGGTCTGGCCCTCTGAACGAGGAATGCCTTTGCTCCAGTTTAGAGCGGAGAACAGGGCCAGGGGCCGGCTTAGCGCTGAAAAAGAGACCGCGCTTGTCAGGATCCAACCCCGGCTACTGTCAGGCATGGGTGAAACCCCGCAGAGGCCGAGAGGGCCAAGGCGTGGGGGTGAGGGGCAAGAAGGCACCTTTCTAGGAGCGAAAAGGCTGGGGACCCCTGGCTCCGAGCTGGTCAGAGACAGAAGGAATGGGACTGGGGGGAGTGGGGAGGCTTGCCGTGTGCCCAGCGCCCACCCACGGGAGGCAGGGAGGAGCCCGTAGCCCACACGGGTGAGGGAGGTGACTTGTGCAGGTCGGAGGCAGGCGGAGGAGCCCTGAGCCCCGGCCTCCCCACCCCAGGTCGGCCCGGGAGAGTGAGGACGAGGAGGAGGAGGAGGAGGAGCGGCGGCAGAGCGCCAGTCGAGGCTGCACCCTGCAGTACCAGCACGCCACCCTGCAGGTCTTCACCCAGTTCCACACGACGTCGTCCGAGGGCGCCGACCAGGTGGTCCCCATGCTGGGCCCAGACTGGCTGGTGGAGGTCACCGACCTGGTCAGCGACTTCATGCGGGTGGGGGACCCCCGAGTGGCACGCATGGTGGACAGCAGCACGCTGGCTGGCCTGGAGCCGGGCACTACCCCCTTCAAGGTAGGCACGGGGCACTGCGTGGGCAGAGAACACAGATGTCCCTGGGACAGGGTTTCTAGGGCCTCGGCCTCTGGGATCAACCCCGGCAGGCCCCTACAACACACTCTCTGCCCCTCAGCCCGCCCCCACCCCCCTGCCTGAAACCCCACCATCAGTGGTAAGCTCCTTTCACTTCCCCTTGGCAAAGGATCTCCCCGCAAGCCCTGTCGACCTTTACCAACCCTGTAAGGCTCGGTGTGGTCCCGGAGAGCAGGTGTGGGTGAGGCGGGGGGGGCTCAGGAATGGGAATTCAGGGACCTAGGAACTCAAAGCTGACCCTCCTCCTGTCCACCTGGGTGCCTGGGTAGAAATCATCCCTCTAAGATGGTGAATAGTGTGACCCACTGGCTAGAATCTGCCTGCAGATGTATTTATGTGTAAAGCAACTGATCCAACATTGAAACAATTGGCAGCTCTCTCATTTTTAAAAATCTAGACTTCCAGTTTTACAAAATATGAATCTGGCAACCCTGGGCCTACATTCCCACCTGGCAGTAACTGGCTGGAGTCAATACTGGTGCCCCCCCTACATGAGCACGAGTTCTCCTATTTGCTGCAGTCCCCACCACTCCCTTTTGTCTCTCATTGAGGCCAAACACCAATTGCTATTCATCACCGTGTGGGGCTATTGTTTACCTTAAATTCTGCCTAACTCTTCTCATCTGTGTTCCTGCCTGGCTCCTGTGAGCCCTTGGACCCTGATTTCCAGCTGCAGCCCTAAGGCAGAGCCTAAGAGTCCAGCCTCCCAGCCTGCCACCCCCCGACCCTGCCCCCCCCCCACCCCACCCCCCCACCCTGTGCTCCAGGCCTCTCTTCCAGCAGCGCTGGGACTCCTCCGTGGCTGGGAATCCTGGGGGTGCTGCTTTCCTGGCCTTCGCTCACCCCTGCCCCACTCTGCCTCAGGTGGTGTCCCCACTGACAGAGTCTGTGCTTGGGGAGACGCTGCTAACAGTGACGGAGGAGAAGGTCAGCATCACACAGCTGCAGGCCCAGGTGGTGGCCAGCCTCGCCCTCTCCCTGCGGCCCAGCCCAGGGAGCAGCCACACCATCCTGGCCACCACGGCCGCCCAGCAGACCCTCAGCTTCCTCAAGCAGGTAACCGGATGCCCAGCCTGCCAACCTGGGGGCTTGGGGTATGGAAGGAAGAAGGAAACTCCAGTTTGTCCTTGTGCCATCAGTCCCCCCAATTCAGGCTTTAATGGAAGGTCTGTCTACCCTTGGTGCCCAACACACCTGGCCCACCCCATTCCCCTGCCATCTGCACAGGGAGTCTGGCCGCCTCCACCCCTAGGAATTACCCCCACCCATCTCTGGAGCCCCAGCTGCAGCCCCACACCCGGGGGCACAAGACAGAGGTGGAAAGGTGACAGGCAGGAGCACAGGGAGCAAGAAGGCAGGTGTTGAGCACTGACCCAAGAGTCTCCCTGCCCCTAACTTGCTCCATGACCACAGGCCAATCCCTTCTCTGAGAGCCCTGCTTCCTCATCTGTAGGGAAGGCATTTCTCAGGATGTTTTAACAGAGGAGAAGGCTGGGGTGGGGTATGTGTTGTCAATCTCCACATGTCTAATGGGGAAGATCCTAAGGTCAGGCATGGAGATACGGGGTTCCTCCTGCAGCAAAAGGGACTTGAGGTAGACCCAAGGCAGAACATACGTTCAGCTCATCAGGGGGAGAAGGATGAGTGGACAGGGAAATTCTTCGGGCGGTATGAGGCCACAACATACCCCTTACCCTGCCCACAACCTCCAGAGGAGGACTTCCTGCTCCCACAATTGTTCCTGAGCCCCTGCCACTTGCCAGGCACGGTTGCAGTGCCGGGAATACAGCCGGGAGCCAGAGTACCGCGGTCCCTGTCCTCACAGAGCTCGGCATCTGCTCAGCACCTAGCGGTGAAGCCAGCCAGGACTAGCTCTCTGACTCCTGCCCCCTTCTCCTCCTCCTCCTCTTCCTCCAGGAAGCCCTCCTGAGCCTCTGGCTCTCCTACAGTGATGGCACCACCGCCCCCCTCTCCCTCTACAGCCCCCGGGACTACGGGCTGCTGGTGAGCAGCCTGGACGAGCGGGTGGCCACGGTGACCCAGGACCGGGCCTTCCCGCTGGTGGTGGCGGAGGCCGAGGGGGCAGGGGAACTGCTGCGGGCCGAGCTCACCATCGCCGAGAGCTGCCAGAAAACCAAGCGCAAGAGTGTGCTGGCCACGACCCCCGTGGGTCTGCGGGTGCACTTTGGGCGGGACGAGGAGGACCCCACTTACGACTACCCGGGGCCCAGCCAGCCCGGCCCCGGTGGGGGCGGGGACGAGGCCCGGGGAGCCGGCCCACCGGGCACGGCGGTGCCGGCAGCCGAGGCCCCGGGCCCGGGCACCGCCAGCCCCGCCGTGCCGCCCACGGAAGACTTCCTGCCGCTGCCCACCGGCTTCCTGCAGATGCCGCGCGGGCTGACGGACCTGGAGATCGGCATGTACGCGCTGCTGGGCGTCTTCTGCCTCGCCATCCTCGTCTTCCTCATCAACTGCATCGTCTTCGTGCTGCGTTACCGGCACAAGCGCATCCCGCCCGAGGGCCAGACCAGCATGGACCACTCTCACCACTGGGTGTTCCTGGGCAACGGGCAGCCGCTGCGGGGGCAGGGGGAGCTGTCCCCGCCCGCGGGCAACCCGCTGGAGACCGTGCCCGCCTGCTGCCACGGCGACCACCCCAGCAGCGGCAGCTCGCAGAGCAGCGTGCAGAGCCAGGGGCACGGGCGGGGCGACGGCTCCTCGGGCGGCTCGGCCCGGGACCAGGCCGAGGACGCTGCCAGCTCGCCCACCTCCAAGCGCAAGCGGGTCAAGTTCACCACCTTCACCGCACTGCCCACGGAGGAGCTCGGCTATGACTCAGTGCCCGCCGGCGAGGGGGAGGAGGACGACGAAGAGGACCTGGGTTGGGGCTGCCCAGACGTGGCGGGCGCCACGCGGCCCACCGCGCCCCCAGACCTGCACAATTACATGCGCAGAATCAAAGAGGTGGCATAGAGGCGCCGTCCGCCCAGGGGGTGCGCTCTGCGTGGGCCACGGCCGGGAGCCCTGCTCACACCGATGCAGGCCGGCTGAAGTGGATTTTGTACTCTCTGCCCCTGCAGCTTTGCTCTGTGCTGGGCGGCCAGCCTACCCCCCGTGGTCCTTCCCGCCACCTCACCCCGTACCCGATTCTGCCACCGAAGGTGGAGGGCTCCTTCCTCAGGAGCTTGCTAGGAGGAAAGCAATCCCAGCCCTCGTTCTACCCTTTCCAGACCTCCTCCCATCTTACACAACCCCCTGCCCCAAAAGTGAGGCATGGAGGCCAAGCTTGGGGTGAGGCGGGCCCACACTGTGCCCCTGCCCCCCCCCCATGTCCCCTGTCTTCCCCCTGTGCCGGGGGGGCTTTGGGGGGTCTTGTGTCACAAGCTGCACAAAGACTTTTCTCAAACCACTATTCAGGGATTTCTGTCCTGCAGGGTGGGGAGGCGGCGGCTGCCTGCCCTGCCAAGGATCTTGCTGTGGACAAAATATCGGGGGGATGGGGGGACACTTGTAGCATCTGTTGGCTTCCAGGTGCTCCCCAGCCCCTTCCCAGGACCTGGGAGCTGACCCTACAGAGGGGTCTTGGGCCAAGCCGGGCACCTTCCTGAGATCTCAGGACTCCCTCCTCTGTCCCCACCGGCTGTGGGCAGGGTCCTAAATGGGGAGGAGCCCCGGGCCTGCCCCTAGTAAGCCACACCCCAGCACTGTGGTCTGGGTGGCCCAGGGAGGCTGGGTCCCCCTGCTGAGCCCAGAGCGAGGTCAACACTGCGCCTTAGCCCTGCCCCTCCCGCTCTGCTGACCACTCCTTCCTCTCTGCAGGGGCAGCCACCCATCCCCCCAGGAAGCGGAATCTGGTGAGAGGGGGAGAGGGTACCAGGGGATGCTGTGGAGGACCTTGGGCCGGGCAAAGGCAGCAGGGAGCTGGGCATCTCCCCTACCCCTCCCAGCCCACCGCCACTTCTCTCTTGGGTTCTACCCACCACTGTGTCGGATTTTCTTAAATAAATGGGGGTGACCAGACTGGACCGGAGCAATAGCTCCCGGAGAACAGAAAGTGCATAGTGCCCGGCTCTGTGTCTCGTCCTTGGGCATGTGTGCACACGCACATGCACCCACACACGGTGGACACGCTAAATGACATGAGATCAAAACACAGCGGAACCGGGCTACAGTCCTTCTGCTCCTCCAACATCCACGTCCCTTTGGACCCTCTGGGGCTTAGGGGCTGCCTGCCTCAGGAGATGAAGGATTCACTGACCCAGAAAGTGCCCTTACAAAGAGGCACTCCTCTAGGAGTTGCCCTGATTGACTTGGGAGGGTGGGGCAAGGCTCAGGGCCTCCAGAGAAAAGGCTGGGCAGGGTGAGGGGCACGGAAGAATAAGGAGAGGGGCAGGAAGGGATTGGTGTGCACACCTGAGCTCACGCTGGACTCCTTCTCCACCTTCAGCCCATCCTCCAGAGCAGGTCCCTCCTGCTCACTGTCACTGTCACCGCTCAGGGAGGCCTCCCGTCTCCATGGAGGAAAGCCTGGGGGTCTCTATGGCAGAGAGCCAGGCAGGAGAGAGCAAAGGCCGTTGGGTAGGCCTCTCCCTCTCAGCAGGCCAAGGGCTAGCCCACAGCCTGTCAGGGCACATCTGGCCTGTGTGTATGCATGGGGCCTCCCATGGCCCTGGGTCGCCACTCCCCAGAACGGGCAGTAGCCCGAGGAGTGGAGGTGGGGACAGGCTGCCTGGCCAGCCTCCAGGGCCCCAGGCAGGGGGCTACAGCCACCAACATCTGTCCCACAAGGGACCAGGGACAGGCCTAGGGCTGCATTGGCGCCCACCCCAACATGCTGTTGCCTACCATGGAAGGAAGCCTGCCGTCCATAGTCATCTGCTCAACGGATCATGGCAGCCTTCAGAGTGCTGTGAGGACCAAAGCTCCTAGCACAGCCCCTGCTCGGAGAGACTCTCAGCAAATGGAGTTTCTCAGACCTTAATGTTCAGGAGCCATTGGTTTACTCAGCACACTAAGCTCCTACTGTGCACCGGGCCCTCCCGGGGAGCATGGAGGCAAAACCAGGGGTCTGCCCCCCTAGGAGCCCCAGCCCTGCTCGGAAGATGGACATGTCAGCTGGCCACGGTTATCTGGAATGATTGATGCCATGGGTGATAGCTTCACCGTGGGTTGGTGGGACACAAAGGAGGAGGGAGGAGACATTCTCAAACTGAGTTTGCTGAGGACGGAGCCAGGGGCATTCCAGGAGGGGAAGCCAGTGGGCATGAAGGCCCGGAGGCCGCATACCCCATGCCCCGTGCTTTTTTTTTTTTTTTTTTTTTTTGCTGCCATATCTCTGTGCATGTTTCCTTTGTTTCTCTATGCACATATTTCTGGAATATGAGTCCCCAGTGGTGGGAGAAACACGAAACACACATGCAAAGTTGCAGAGGCCAGAGGCAGTGTGGTGGGTTCAGCGTGGACTGGGGGGTCAGGCTCAGACTTGAGGTTCAGACTGTTTCCCTCTGACCTGGTGATGGAAGGAAGATTTGGGGGGGCAGGGGAACCAGTTCGGAGGATGCTGCCGCAGAAGGGACAAGAACCAGGGCAGCTCTGTTCCAGAGCTGGGTGGACACCGTGGCATTCGGCTGTGGAATTGCCCACCGCCTTGTCCCGCATGGGGAACAGGGGGAGGGGATATGAGCCGCTGCTGGACACCGAGACCTCCTGCCCAAATGAACCTCGGAGACCAAGGCCACTCCAGGAGACAAAGTGGATGCTACCGTAATTGTGTCTGTCAGCACCCACGCTTTCACACACAGGGAACCCCACAGAACGGGACCGTTGGCCCAGAGTCACCCAGCAAACTTCATAATGGAGCCGGAGCCCTGCCTGCCTCCCTGTCCTGTAATCCGTGCCCCTTCCGCTCCATTCCTCACGCCCTGTCCAAATGCGAGAACTCAGAAGCAGTTGCTAGAAATGGCAAGTCTTGACCCTCGTGTAGTTCAAGAGGGAGCAGGCTTGGAGGGAACAAGGCAGGACATTAAGTTAACAGCCCCTCTGGAATGGCCCTGGCACTGAACTTCCCTTTAAAAATTTGTCTGCAACCCCAAAAACGAATCGAGGGACCTTGTAAAGAATAGTTACTACAGAGAGCTGCTCAGGGAACACCGGGACCCCAGGCCCATGAATCAGCTTGCTGGCAAAATGAGATTTCTCAGACAGCCAGGCCCGGCAAAGGCAGAGCTGGAGGGATGGAAAAATGGCCTCCAGCCTGTGCCCACCCCGGTGCTCAGCTCCCTGCCCACCCCCCACCCCCCTGCCAGCTCCCTGCCCACCCCAGCCCTGCATGTGCTTCCATGCCTGTCTTCAACAAATCTTCACAGGCACCTACTAAGTGCCAGGCACGATGCTCCCCTTAAGAGAAGGCTTCGGGAGGAGAGGGAGAGGTCTTGGAGCCAAACTGAGAGCGCTGAAAATGCAATAAATGGGCCAGAGAAAGGAAACCCTCACTCGAAGGGAGGATACTTCCTACGACAAGTCGGCAAGGACTCCCGGAGTCTGACAGCACATTTGCTGTGTGACCTTCAGCCAGTCTGTCGCCCGCTCTGGGCCCTCGTTTCCCCAACTGGACAAACATGGAAATCACCACCGCTAGGCAGTGTCCAGTGACCTCCCTCACGAGGCCCCACTGTTTCAACACCTGTATCGCCAACAAGAGTCCAGATAGGTAGGAATTATAACTGCCATGTTAAAGAGATAGGAACACAGAGGGGGCGAGTGACTTTCCGATGGCCTCCAGCTCAGAAGTGACCTGGCGGGCACCCACAAATCTACGCTCTTTCTGCTACATCTTTAGGCAACATTGGCAGTTGGAGGGGAATGAGGTTGCAGAGCTTTGGAGGTTGGGAGGGGTTTAAGGAGGGGTCTCTAAAGATTCGATGTGCTCAGTGATGGGGGCAGCCTGTGGGGCCACTGCTGAAGGCATAGATCATGGGTAGTGTGGGGGGACAGACGGAACATTGTGAGCACCATGGCCTCGCTGTCACTGTTAGCGGGACAATAGTCCCTCCCCTACCGAGAGCATTATACGACGTGTCTCATGGCACCGAACACATAAATAGCAGACAGCGTCAGGCAGGATTCAAACCCGGATTACATGGCTCCAAGTTCCAGATCTTCCCACTGCCCCACAATGCCCACCTCTCGGGGACCTGGAGTTCAGAGGATCGTTCCGATGCAGAGGTAAGAACACCGGGCTGGGAGCCCAGGGGTTTGGTGCGGGTTCTCACTCAGCCACGGACTGAGCCCCATGTGTGGAATAAGCCAGGACCCTCAGCTAGAATCCAGGGGCCAGATGGCCCCTCGAGTGCCTTCAATCTTGATGGTTTGTGTGTCTTTAGGTGTGAAGCCCTGGGCACCACCCAGCCCTGCCATGTCACACCTCCCCCTCCATAGAGATAGAGCTACAGTGGGGGAGGAGGGAGGGTCACAGGCTTCCATGGTCTTCGGCTATCCTCAAAGCTTTGTCAGCTCTGCCATCCTCTACCTGATGCCACTATGGGTTTGCATTTGCCGTGTAGGGGTGGGAAGAGCATAGTGGAGGAGCAAAGCGGGGGTGGGAATGGTGACTATCCTGTGCGTGCCAGAGGGGCAGTGAGTCGCGGGGCTAGGACAGAGCTTGAATTGTCCCCTGCCCTCAGGGAGCTCCCAGTCTGAGGGGAGAGACCAGATTCTGTTCCATGGGAGCTCCCAGTCTTAGAGAAGAGGAACACGCCCTGTCCTACAGCAGCTCCCAGTCTGAGGGGGAAAACAAGCCACCTGCCCTTGACAAACACTCCATCTGATGAGGGAGACTGGTCACACCCTGAAGAAAAGACATCGTGTATTCAGAGAGACATACAAACAGGTGCAAGTAAGCCCAAAGTACTTGATGCATGCACTTAGCCCACAGAGCAGAGGGAATGAAGTAAACGTGGAAGGCAGGCACGAAT